CTCTTTCCCCTTTGGGTACCCTATACCTGAAATACTGGGTGCCTTTCTTTCCCCTTACCTTGTTAACCTCTTATCTTTCAATTTGCAGCTCAGTCTTTATTGCCTTAAGATAGATTTGCTCAACCACAGCACTACTGACATTTTGGGCCCGGTAGTTCTTTGTCATGGGATGCTGTCCTGTGCATTGTAGGATATTCAGAAGCATCCCTGGCCTCTTCCCACTAGATGCCAGTAGCATCACCCTCTCTCCAATTACAAAACCAAAAATATCTCCAGACATTTCCAAGTGTCCTCTGGGGTAGCAAAATCACCCCAGCTGAGAGCCATTGCCTTAGAGAGACCCACCTGACTAGGTCAAACCCCCTTGTATGCAACCCCCTGGCAGCTCTCCTCCTAAGCACCTGCCATAGCTATAATTGTATGTGTATCCTGCATATCATCTCTATTCCTTACCAAAGCAAGGCTCCCAAAAGGCAGGGACATCTCTGTTTATCCAGTGCCATATACCTGGTGTCTGGCAGTCACTGGCACATAGAAAGTTTGTCAAACGACAATATATGTATGCTACCTTGCTCATCTGCATCCATACTAGCTGAGAGAGAGAGAGAGAGAGAGAAGAGAGAGAAGGAAGAAGGAAGAAGGAAGAAGGAAGGGAGGAAGGGAGGAAGGAGGAGGGAGGAGGAAGGGAGGAAGGGAGGAGAAGGGAGGGGGGAGAGGGAGGGAGGGAGGGAGGGGGAGAGGGAGGGAGGGAGGAGGGGGAGGGAGGGAGGAGGGAGGGAAAGAAGAAAAAAAGAAAGAAAGAAAAGAAAGCAAGCAAGCTTGGTTCAACAAGCTTGGCCTTTGCTAATTGGCACTTTCCTTTCTGTGTGAAGTCTGGTGAAGAGAACCAGGTGACTCTCAACACCGCACTATGTCACTACATAGCTGTCTGACCCTATAAAGCACATTTTTCTAAATCTATAAATGGGGCCAATGATATCTAACTCACAAATGAGGTGAAACCCTATGAGACGGAAGGAAGGAAGGAAGGAAGGAAGGAAGGAAGGAAGGAAGGAAGGAAGGAAGGAAGGAAGGAAGGAAGGAAGTCCTTCCTGCCTCACTGGCTTGAGGCATGTCTCAACCCAGACCTCGAGTACTGTTTCTCAGACTCGGTCTCACTTTCCCCGCATCACTTCTGTCTTCTGTGTTTGCTCCGTTCTCAGACAGTGTTTCACCTCATGATGGCAAGACGGCTGCCCACAACTCTAAGTCTACTCCCCATAGCTCCCACAAACTCTCCAATAATGAGTCCTATTTTCTCTGATTGGCTGAGTCAGGTGACCCACGTTTCTGGGCTAGCCAAGTTGACAGGAGATGACATGAAAGAAAAGAGTTTCTAGTGCAAAGCATGCCAAAGAAAAAATGAGCTCACTAAAGGCTCACTGAATATAACTGAAAGATGCCCAAGTCTCCATTGCCAGGGAGAGAACTGAGGTTGTAAGTGTGGGCAAGAATGCAATTCACACAGTGTTTACTGAGCACATGCCAAGTCTCAGGTCCTCTCCCTAATCCTGGACGATGCCTGAGAAAACGCAGAGTCAGCCATTCTGGGATCCCAGGTCTTCAGAGACTGGTCTGGGCCCCAGGGCTCAGAAAGGACAACTACTTCACCAGCCTCACGCAGATGAGGCAATGGAGAGAGGCTGGTCTACTAAGCAGGCAGACGTCTGCAGGGCCAGTGGGGAGAGGAGTGGGTAGTGCCTCTGGCCCCTCAGCACCAAATAACATGTCTTCTACTGCTGGTTGTCCTGGCCACCTGCTTCATTCTTTTAAAAGTTCAAATGTTCTTCCTTTCAAGGCACCCTCTGAGTCACACTTTGCTTGCACTATATCTGATTCTTACTACGATACTGTGAACTAAGGATTATTACCTTTGTTCTTCCAAAAGTGAAAACTGAGGCTCAAAAAGTGAGTGACTATCCTAGATTATACAACTGATACACAGAATCAAGATTGGATTCCAGGTGCGTGTGGATGCAGAGCTTGTTTTCTTCTCACAACAGCCCCCTAAGGACCCAGGAGGAAGCCTGCCACCTGCAGCCATTGGGCCAACTCATCACCCCACCTCCACATTGCCTTGCCAATTCAGAGAGGCTCCAGGTTCAAATCTTGGTTCTGTCGTTCGTGTGATGCTGGGCGAGTCAGTTAGCTGCTCTGAAATTCAATTTCAGAGCATCTGCCTAATGGAAGTAGTAACAATATCTACCTAATATATTGTGTATTTACTCTCTCCCACTGCCTCAGCAGAAGAAGTATATTTCCCCATCCCACTGATGCTAGCATTAGCCAATGAAGTGAGACACACACCAAGTCCAAAGAGAAGCACTACATGTGCATGGCTGGCTCAGCTTGACCTCTTATGCTCCCGCCAGGCACTATTAAAAGATCATACTCGAGAAGGCACAGCTCCTTCCGCCCAAGTTCTGGGGCAAGAAACAGGTGGCACAGTCCTGGACCCCATCTACAGCTAGAGCAGAGCCCTGCAGCCCACCCCTAGAGCTGTGAGGGAGGGAGGGAGGGATGCGTCTGCTATTGCAAACTGGTGATTTTCAACATGCAGTCCATGAGCCAGCAGCATCAATATCACTTGGAAATTTGCTAGAAATGCAAAGTTCCCAGTCCCCATTCAAGCCTAGTGAATCAGAAACCCTGTGGGTGGGGCCCAGTGGCTGAGTTTCAGCAAGCCCCCTTGGCGATTCTTATTCAGCCTCAAGTTTGGAATCCACTCATGTAAATCCCTGACATTTGGGGATTGTTTTGTGCTGCAGCAGAATCTGACAATACATCTGCCCTTTGAGGTTGCTATGAGGACACAGGAAGATAAGATGTGAGGAGTTCCTGGGTGAGTTTTCTTTTCCCAGTCTAAGGCTGGGATCCAAAATCCTTCATAATCTGATCCCTGAGTCCTCTGCAGCCTCATCCACCTGCACTGCCCCACAGAGACCTGTTCTCCTGTGTGTCAGAGCCAGAAAGCAGCTCAGGCATGAATTTATATAATCCCCAATAACCAAATGAACCCAGGACAGTAGAGAGATGTGCCTAAGGCCTCAGAGGGGGTTAAATCCCTACACAGGACACAGAGCACCCACAGGTGACGGACGAACACTGGTGTGTTTATAGACAGCACCTGCCACTTTATGTGGTATAAGAGATCCCCGTAACTGCCATGCCTGGCATCAATCCCCAGCTCCCCAACCAGCTGTCCAGAGGGCCTCCTGGGTCAGGGGTCACATGTCTGCCCAGGACAAATAGCACAGGACACGAGACGTGCAGCCCTCTGTGCCATCAGCATGTGTGCCCTGGGGACCGGCGAGGGTGGCCTTCCCTCCAGCTAGCACCTGAGGACTTTGGGTGGCCTGTAGCTGTGTCTGTGAGAAAGACATAGGGGCTTCTGCAGAATCAAAATGTAGACTCCACCGCATCTTAGAACAGGGATGAAGTTGTCGCCTCCTTTGCAAGACAGTTGGCGGGAATTTAATGAGATCCTGTGTGTACGGGGCTTAGCATGGGGCCAGATACACAGCAGGTGCCCGCCAAGGCTGGCTGTCATTGTCATCATTTCTCACATGGCCGTGCAGGGCTTTTGTGAGATCACTTGTAGAAGAGGATGATTCTCAGCTGTGACAAAGCTGGTCATGTTTAGCACATGGTAGGAATGGTTGCCATTAGTTTTGTTGGTCAACAGCGTCAGATGTCTGACAAAAGTAACTGCCATCCTGTGTTAATGCCTGCATCAAAAGTTGTGGGCATCTCTGTGGAACAATGGTCAACTACGGCGACTGCTAACCGTCACCAGGTGTGTGCCAGTGGTCTCTTTCTGTGGCTAGAGATGGAAACCATCATCAAACTGGCTTAAGCATGAAAGGAAATGTATCAACTTAGGAAGCTAAAAAGTCTAGGCATGGACTGGTTGCAAGGATGTGATGACTTGTTCTGTCTCTCAACTCTGCTTTCCTCTGCTGGTGTCACCCCTGAACTGGCTCTCTCTGCACATCTGGACACCTGGCCACTCCTACACTGGCAGGAACCTCATGGAAGACAACAGTCCTTGCAGAGAGAGCAGCTGCCCCTTTCCCAGGAGGTACAGCAGGAGGGCCAGCCATGAATCCCGTTGGCCTGCCTGGGGCTGTGTGTTCATCTCTGATCCATCCAGATGCCTGAGAAAATAGGACATGCAGCATGACACCAGGATGACACCCAACTCATCCTAGACCCTGCCTAAACCACATGGACCAAGAGCAGTGAACAATGGTTCTCTGAAAGAAATCAGTGATGCAGCTTACAGAAGAGGGAAGAATCAGTGCCACAGAGAAACCCCTCACTCTGCAGAGCACGCGCTCCGTTCTGGCCACAGCGTCTCCAGTGGGACAGAGGCAGGCCGTGCCATGCTCAGCAAAGCGGCTGCATTTGGAGGAGGCTGGATGTTACTCCTTGGGGAAGGAGAGCCAAAGGCACTGGGGATCCTGGACCCGGACTCAGGATATCAAGTATTGTACTATTTCTTCTGTCGTCTGGGATTCTGTTGTCTCTAGTTTTCACTTAATGTGTTGTGTCTTTTATTGTTGCCCATAAGAGCACTTAGTCTAACAGAAGAATATTTTAAATAATAACTATTATGGTGATGAAAACAAAAAAGAAAAAAACAAAAGGGTTAACTGTATTAGTAATCTACTGCTATGTTAACCATGTCACTGAAAACTTAGTGGCTTGAAACAATACACCCTTATTATCTCACAGTTTGGGGGTCAGGAGTTCGGGGGTGGCTGCAAGCCTGCAGTGGAACAATCAGTCAGGGCTGAGTTCCCATCTGGAGGCTCAGCCAGGGCAGAGCCACTTCCAAGCCCACGTGGGTGTGGGCAGCATTCGGTTCCCTGCAGCTGCAGGACTGAAAGGCTCAGCTCCTCGCCTCAGCTCTGGGGACTACCCTCAGCTCCTAGCAGCTGCCCTCGGGGTTCCTTACCATGCGGGCCTCCAGCAGGACTGCTTGCTGTGTCAACCCAGCAAGGGTGAGGAAAACTCCAGCAAGACAAGTTCTGCAAGCCTATGGAATGTGCATCCTTTGCCGTGTTGTATTGGTCAGAAGAATGAACACGAGGAAGCAGGTGTCATGGAAGCCGCATTGCAATCTGTCCCGCAGAGCAGCAGATTGCTGTGTCAGACCACATGAGTAGTGAGTATGGGATTGTGTTTCCAGCTTATTAAAACATTCTACTCAATTATTAGACCAGGTCTGTACCAAATATGTACAAAACTTCCAGTGTTCATATCCATTGCTTACTAGCTTTTTGACCTTGAATAAATTACTTAATCTCTCTGAGATTGAGTTTATTCACTCAGTTGAGTGAATAAACTGAGAGGAAATAAAAGCACTTTCTTCACAGCCTAAAAGAATTAAATGTGTTACAAGTAAAGTGCTTTAGTGAGTTGCAGCATGTACTTGGTGCTGAGTTGGTGTCAGCATCTATACACGCACGCACACGGAGTAAACATACGTGTGTTCTGAACAATGTGCTGGATTTTTTCTTTATCAGAACCCTCCGTGTGCAATATGAAAGCCTCCACTTTGCAGAAGCAGACACCTGATGCACCTAGAGCAGGGCTCCCCAACCTATGGTAAGCTGTATAATTATTTTATTATATATTACAATGTAATAATAGTAGAAATAAAGTGCACAATGAATGTTATGCACTTCAATCATTCCAAAACCGTTCCTTCACCCCAGTCCATGGAAAAAGTGTCTTCCATGAAAACAGTCTCTGGTGCTGAAAAAGTTGGGGACCGCTGACCTATAGGACCTATTGGAGCTCTCAGAGCTACCAAGTGGCTGAAGTAGGTTGGAGATGCAGACCTTCTGGGAGTACCCCAAACTAGAAGGTACCAGAGTGACCACCTAGCCCTGAGAATTTCAGTTGTTCTCCATGGCGTGGTTTCCCAAGGGCTGCCAAGGGAATAACAGGATGGCCAGGAGGGTACAAGCTCCAAGCCCAGAGCTGCTTGCTCTTCTTTGTTTTATATTTGGGGTTTCTGCATACTATTGTGTTTTGGGAGAAGAGGTTTTCAGTAGCTGAAAAAAAATAAAAATTAAACAAACAGACAAATAATTAAAGAAATAAATACAGAGTGTCAATTTGTTGGCTGATCCATCTTTCCACTTTATAGAAGATAAAAGTGAGATGCAGGGAAGGAACATGCTGGCCCAGGTGTGGGCTTGCTCAAAATCAGGGAGAGCCCAAAGCACCAGGTTCCCCAACTGCCATCTCTCCACGTCCTCTCTGCCCACGCAGTTCCATGGGGTGGTGTACACTAAGTCCATTTGAAGTAATTGGGCCACTTTAAAATACACTATTGATTCTTCTCACCGTGTCCCTGTTTGAAGCAACTGTGAAGACAGCTGGAAACACCAAGCCAGTGACTGCTCCCAAGCTGGCGCAGTTCCACAAGAGCATACATGCCGTTTTGAGCATAGACTGCATTGCTAAGCAGTGGAGTGCTAATAAAATGTTGGCAATAAATTGCATTCTAAAATCATCGTGGGAGACTGAGATTACTCTTTTAAGAAACCCTATGAGGAATACTTTGATAGAGTAGGAAGGGGAAAAAAAGTCTTGAACAATGGAATAACAATCACTCATTTGAGTCTTATAAATCCAGACTTTGGTATATGGGGCTCCCTTTGAGCATACTGCTTCTTATGTATGACACCTGCCTGAGCACTCGTAGATCAATCAGCTGGGTAACTATGGCTGAAAAGCAACAGCCCCACCCAATACCAATCCTCTTACCTTGCCACCCTGCCCACCATCAAAAACTTACTTCCACTCCGACAATATCTAAGTGACTGAAGTCAGAGATTTAGAGAAAGAGCAGGCTATTAGGAGGCTTGAGAACTTTGATTTTAAAGCAATCCATCTTGTTACCTCCCTGAGACTCAGTTTCTTCTTCTGTAAAGTAGAAATAATATGTGCTCAACCTAAATTAGAAGGTGATTTTGAGGATCACATCAGACGATGAATGCAAAAACATTTATCCAAAGAAAACTAGCTGAGCGACTGGAAACAACACAGGCATAGGAGTGAGACTCTCTCTCTCTCTCTTCCCCGTCATCCTTGTGTACATTTCTGCAGATTCTGCCCTGGTGAGCTCTCTATCTGTGGGTCTCCTCTCCTGCACCCTAACTCAGGCTCCCTGCCCTTTTCACCTGATCAGACAGGCTCTCCATGGGTCTCCCTGCATTGAAGTCCATTCCCCTGAGATCCATCCTCCACATTTCAGCGAGGGTGATTTTTCCAAAATACAACTCTTAGTGTCTCCCCGTTGCTCATGGGGAAAAGACGCAGTTGCTCTGTACGGCACAGCAGAGCTTCCACGTTCCACCCTGCCACATCTCCACTTTCCTGCATCAGACTTTATACAACAACAGCCATACTAAGCTTTTAGCATTCTCCAGATCCAAAAGGCTGATTCTCACCTCCGGGCATTTTCTTCTGCTTTTTTTCACTGCCCCTTGGTGATGACTTTGTGTATTAGTCAGGGCGAGCTAAGTTATGCTGCAGAAACAAACATCCCCTAATCTCGGTCTACATGCCCAAATTTGCCACTGAGGAGCAGGGGTGGGGAATTGTCTGCATGTGGTGGTCACTCTACGACTCTAACTGATAGAGGCTTCATCTCCGCCTGTACTTCCACGGGCATCACAGCAAGAAGTAAAGAACATGGCAAACTATGCATGTCTCCTAAACTTTCCATTCAATTCATATTTCATTGGCTAAAGGAAATCAAGGGGCACAGGAATACAATCTACCCTAGCTCAGAGAGCAGACAGCCAGCAATCTAATGATTCCCACCTCTGTGTCTTTCTGCCTGGTAAACAAACTCTGATTTTTAGGCATATCCCAAGTTCCTCATCCTCTAGGAAGACTTCCTCATATATACCTCTATCAGAGCCAGCACTACACCTGCACTGCTTTGATCAGGTTCTTTCCCCTCCACTCCATGGAGCACTCCTCTAGGCCAGGCACCACATTTTAGTCACATCTGTATTTCTTGGGTGCAGTATCATGTCTGGAGAGAAGTAGGAGCCAATTATCTCTGTATCAGAGGCATAAAGTTTTGGTAAATGGATCGACAGCTGACTTGCCAGGCCCTTGTCCCCAGAAGTTTCCTGGGTGGTGGAGGGAGGGGTGGAAGGAGAGATGTGAGAGCTGCTGCTCGCTCTGGGGCCAGCTGAGCAGCCCCCGGATGTCTGGCAACTCCAGAGACAGCCGAGACTGGTTGCTGCAGACACGGGCAGACACCTGCGCTTCCTCTTCTAACCAGCGCTTACAATCTGGACATCTTTTTAATTATTATTTTGACTTTTTTTTTTCTTCTTTTAGCCTGATTGCTCTGGCTGGAACCCCCAGTATGATGCTGAATGACAGTGGTGAGAGCAAACATCCTTGTCTTGTTCCTGTTCTAAAGGGGGAAGCTTTCAGTTTTGCACCATTAAACAGGGTATTAGCCTTGGGTTTTTCATAGATAAACTTTATCAAGTGGGGAAAGTTCTGTCTCTAATTTGTTGAACATTTTTATAGTGAAGGAGTTTCAGATCTTGCACAATGCTTTTCTGCAGTTATCATGTGTTTTGTTGTTCATCAAAATGTCTCTGGACATTGTAAAACATCCTGTGGGGGCAGACATCACCCCTAGTTGAAATCCACCACCTTAAAGGACTAAGGTGAGAATTAAATGTTTAGCACATGTAGCATGTCCATTCAGACACACCATAAAGAGCAGCCACTTTGGTTTGTATCCTCCCTCAGGACACAAATCAGGGCCTGGAGGAAGGTGTGAGTTTGGGAAACAGCGTGGAGCTGCCCCAGGCTCCTCACAGAGCTCCTCAAGGGTCCCCTGAGGCCTCAGCTTCAGAAACAGCAGTGCTGGGCTGAATGCGTCCAGACTCAGGGCCCAGTGAAGACAAACAGACTCAGTCATCCAGCACAGCTGGATTCTGCAGGCCGACTTCTGCCAGCCCCTCCCCAAGGCCTGTTCAGAAGACATCAGAGTGGACACCAAGCTTCACTAATACCCTGCTGGGTCAAGAGCCCATGGTGCTAGTCTGTCCTTGTCATGGCTCAAGGGGCCTCTGGCCATGTCTAGCTCACAGTTCAAACCTGATGCTGTCAGTGTCCTTCATTGGCATGTGACAAACCCCTGAGCATTATAACAGGAGAGCTCAGAAGTGATGATAATCAAAACTTTAGATGCAAGTGCTTTGAATGCAGTATAGCTAATCCTCACAACAATCTTCCCACAGGGATATTTATGACCACTTTACTGAGGATCCAAGGAATTAAGTGACCATATTGCCATAAATGATCATGTAGATGATTAGAACCTACAGCCTGGATCCAAAGATTGTAATATAACTTCCACTAGATCATGAGGAATCACATACACACACGTGCACACACCACACACACACATACACCTTACACCTGCTACTTCACAGAACACTCTAACTACACAGTCCCTCAGAATACAGGGAGTGCAGGCACCTAGTCTCCAAATGATGGTGTTTGCAGAATTTTGTGTCCTTCTATGGTTGCTCCCACTGAGTTATCTGTGTGTAACTCAGAACAGGTGGGTCTCGAGCCAAGTTAGAAGGAAGGAGGGACTCTGAATTTTTGAGCAAGGAATGCGATAAAGGAGTCGGGAGGGTGGGTGCGGAGGGGCAAGGTGGGGAGAATTTGCACACAAATGATGAAGAGTGAAAGAGAGGCTGTCCATTTCTTTATTTAGTCATCCACTTACCACAATATTTATTGAGGGTCCACTAAGCACTGGGGATGCAGAATAAGAGGAAGACAGGACCTCTGGCCTCAGGAAACTCTGGGGACAGATGCATACAAACAAACAAGTGGTCATCATTCAGGCGACAACATGCACATGTGCCTGTGTGGACACAGAGGCATGTGTCCCCATGCCCATTTGTCCTAGCACATGCTGTTTCCTCTCTCTGGTGTGCCCTGCAGAGCCCGGTCAATTCCTACTCGTCATCAGCATTCAGCTCCCACGGCATCTCCCAAGGCAGCCTGTTATCTCTTCCAACTAGACAGACTAGGGGAGCCTTCCTGGTGTACACACTTGAAGTCCCCGGCATCTGAATGATGTCATGTCTGTGTGCAAAAGCAGAGACTAGCTGGCCAGTTCCAGGAGGGTACAGGATGTGCCTGTGTGTACTTTCTTCCCAAGGCCTGGCATAGAGCAGGTAGAAGCCACTGAAGCCTGTCAAGCAGGGAAGGGAGATGGCCATATTTAGGAAGATGGCTCTGGCCACAGGATGAAGGATGAATTTTGGGAGTCCAGAGCAAAGCAATGAGGACAGGTGGGAAGAGAGGACCACTGCAGAAAACCAGAGGTCAGGTGGCACGTGTGTGTGTGTGTGCACCAGGGGAGGGTGCAGTAGAGAGATACTTGAGAGGTTGAGTTAAAAGAAGCCACTGAGAAGAGGAAGGAGAGGAGAGGGAGAATTTTAGTATGTGCAACCTGGCTTCTCCCAGAGACAAATGTTGGAGTGTGTCCCATGCCCACCTGACTGCAGGTTCTTTGCTGTCAGAGAGAGGAAGAAAGGAAGGAATAATTAAATGTGCAGCTTCTCCTCTCTTGAGAGATAAACAGAAATGGACGCTCCCAACCGTGGATGATTGAATGAATGGAGAGGTGAATTACAAATGCCTTCAATGTCAGAGCTCCAAGAGTTATCAAAGATCCCAGCTTCTCTGCCCTGACCCCTCCCTCTCAAGCCACGCTGCTAGGCACCTGTTTGTCCCACAGGGGCCCATTATGTGAGCAGATTGCTCAGGAAGGACTTTGTTAATGCATGGGTCCTATGGACTTCTGGGCCACAAAGAGGTAGCGGGACCCAAAACATCCCAAGTGATATTCAAATTTATAGTGAGCATGCGCATCCTGACTCACTGCTGAGTGCTAAGCTCTGGGCTGCAAGGAGACAGTGATGAGTAAGACACCACCCCTGTAAGAGGCCCGTAACGTGTGCACCGATAGCTCTGACACAGGCAGAAAGTGGCCAGAAGTTTTATAATAAAGGCCAATGCTTAGAATGTGTTTAAAATGGTCCAGGTCTTATTCTAATACTTTACCTGTTCTAGTTTGATTAATCTTCAAAAATTTGCGTTTGTAGAATTTTCTTATGGTCACTCTTTTGCTGATGAGGAAAATGGGACTCTTGCCCAAGATTCTGTACATCTTAGCAATGGGGTAGAACACAGGTAGCCCAGCCCTGGAACCTGTTCATGTGACCACTGCACCCTCCCACTGACATGTCAAGCTGACAGCCGTGGAACTCCGGTTACGTGGTCACCACACTTTCCCATGCACTTGACTCCTGCTGAATCTCCCTGGTACCTCCAGGAGGAGAAATAGCCGCACGGCACCATGAGTTTTGCAGTTCAATTTCCATGGGTTCACTTTCCAATTCCAACACTCACTGGCCATGTGACATGGCCACACTTTTGACCTCCCTGTGCCTCAGTTTTACTCATCTGTAATAGAAGGTAATGATGTGTCAACCTTGAAGGCTACTGGAAAGATACTGAATTAACGCATGTAAAGGGATTAAAGTGTGGCTGTCACGAAGAAAGTGCTTTTGTTACAGATGGGAAAGTGAGGCCTGCAGAGGTGATCGCCCTGCCCACCACTGCACAGACAGCTGGCAGTGGAGCCAGCTGCCCCAGTCTGTTCAACTCCAGTGCCAGAGTTTTACACACTGCATCTTGCAGACCCAGAAATTGATATCAGGGATGAGTGAAGAGTGAACGAATGAAGGAATGAATGGACTAAAAATAAGTTTGTGGCACCTATATACTATAACTGTAACAAGTAACATTTGTGATTTCCTTTGATAATTAAATACCTGAAGATTGTAAGTAGTATTACCCCTTTCAGAGATTAAAAATTAAAAACAACTAAAACTCAGAAAGGAGGAGAAACTCAATCCAACCCGTGACAACTTCCTGCATCACCATCCATAGAAAGAGGAGCATTCAATCCCAGGTCCTTGACACCAAGGTTCATGTTGTTTATTCTTTACCACCAGAATTATCCAAGAACTGGTGTAAATCCTAAACAGATGCTTCCATCTGCAAAACGCCTCTCAGAGCAGTTGAACCAGGCAGAATCACAGAAGAGATACCCTACCTTTGCTGATTTCCGATCAGAATGTGGGCCTTTGGGCACATTAATGAATTCATTGAACCCTGGGTTCTTTCCTCTAGAATGTGCTTAACAATACCCACCTTGCCACATTGTTGGGAGGACCAATGACAAGCTACAGCCCAATGCTGAGGATCAGACCTGGCACACAGGAGGCATAGAGTAGACTGGAGTTAATTAATGTCACCACACATTAATAATTATAGGTGTATTAATTAATAATAATCTCAGCATGGGAGCTAAGCAAAATAATGAGGAAATTGGGACTTGATGGAAACACAGGTGGATCTGCCCTTCATAGTGGCTTCGGAGCTACTGTCATGACCACGCTGATCGGAGCTCCAGGGGGCCAGAGTGAGCGTGGCCAAGGTGGCATCTTCAGCCATTGCTCTGAACACATTTGCTTATATAGTTCCACATCACTGGGTTCTGGATCATAGCTGTGAACCCGGAAGTGAGGGGGAAACATCCTTAGATAGGCAGAACAGTTATGACCAAACCCATGCGCTAAAGTTTCCCCTTCTGGGCTATTCAAATGGACTTACACCATTTGCTCATGATTCTAACAGACCTTCTGTATCAGTTAGAATGCTTGAGGCTGCAACTAGCTTTCCCTCCCTGACACTGCAGAGGTCGCACATGTGAGGCCTCTGTGCCAAGCCAAGATGCGCTACCCTAGGTGGCTTCCTACCTGATGGCCGCTCTCTGGGGCAGCCCCTCCCCCAGTGCCAAAGACACTGAGAAGATCCCAGACAGCTTCAGCATCGAGGGAGACAACCAGCTCAACAAGGTCACCAGTGAGCCGAATGGAGAAAACGTGGAAGATGTCATTGCCCAGGGCGGTGGCAAGCTTGCCAGTGTACCTGCTGGCAGGGCTGTGGCCGTCTCTGCTGCCCCAGGTGCTGCAGCGCCTGCTGCTGGTTCTGCCCCTGCTACAGCAGAGGAGAAGAAAGATGAGAAGAAGGAGGGGTCTGGAGAATTAGATGATGACATGAGATTTGGCCTATTCGATTAAATTCCTGCTCTCCTCAAATAAAGCCTTTTTATGTTTTAGAAAAAAGCATATTAAACTTAAAAAATGGCATAAACAATAAGCAGTATAAGCTCACAGAACAAGATCAGGGGAAGGTGGCTCCAGTGTTCATCACCAGTTAGGCACTCTCAGCAGGAGCCCTGAGACTTTGCATCTTGCCACTCTGCCACGTTCAGCACTTGGGCCAAGCTGCCTTCATGGTTTTGAGATGGCTGTCACAGCCGTCCTCATGTGACTTGTCCAAAATCAAGGAGAGGAGAATTCTCATCTTGAGCTATTTTTTGTAAAACGAAGAGCACCTTTCTAGAAGCATCCAAGCAGACTTCCCTCTTATCTGCTCCTCTGGGGCTGTGTCTCATGGCCCTATCTGACTCAAGATCCAGCAAGGGAAAGAAAATCCCCATGAGTGACATGGGAAGGGCCACCTTAGGGGGTGGGAGGACTAACCCCTGAGCACAAGGAATAAGCAGGATGATGGACAGCTGCTATGGAAGCCCCAGTATTGGTCACAGTTATGGGACTTTCTCAACCTGCAGCCACGAGAAACAGCAACAAATCATCCCTCCCACAAGCAGCGCTTCACGTTCTCACGGGAGTTCACATCCACTCTCTCATTCCAGCCCCTCAGCAACCTGTGAGGTAGGCAGAATCAGGGATCTGTTTGCTCATTTCACATGTAACAGAGCTGAGACTGAGAGGGATCTGAGCGGTGTCCTCAGCAGCTGACATAGCTCACTCCAAGTCCAACATCGAAAGTTCCAATCCCAGGTGGCTTCAATGGGCAGGTACACATGAAACACAACTTCTTCTGAGTCAGAGTCATGTGCATCCCCAAGGGCAGTAGGCATGAGATTCTTATTTGAAATCACCCACAGTTCCTCTTAAAGCTTAACATCCTTGCTGTCAGAATATCTCAGGCTGAGCAATAATCTCTGGGCAGATAAACATAGGTCTTGAGAGTCATCTAATCTCTTTCGCAGGCAAGATGATAATGCCAACCTGGCATAGGGCTGACTTTAACATAATTCGCACAGTTAATGGAAAGACGAGCCCATCACAGCTGCAGACAGCTGGGGAAGTGAGCAGGAGCCAGGCGTGCCCTGCAGCTCAGAGTATGCAATATTTATCACCACTTTAATGGACTGAGGCTGCCTGATCCACCGTGCCCTGGAGCAGTTCATGGTCACAAGGCTCCAACAACAGCAACTCTACAGAGTTGGGAACAGGCTGAAGTTGTTCATCCGGGGTTTCTTCTTGAGCAGGAGCTGTGCCTTGCTGGCCCATTACACAGACCATCTTTCATGCGTGTATACATGCTGTGAATGTTCTCGGGCAAGCTATGAGTGCAGGAGCTCTGCAGTGGAATTAGTCCTCTTCTTGCCAATCCCAAAGCACTTTCCGTAGAATCTGCCACCCTGCCTTCGGTCAAGACCATGACACCTTGGAGACATGTAAAGTATTGTACAGATTCAACCTTTCCTCTCTCAAAGGCTAGCCACCTGTTCTTCTATCTCAGTACTACAATTGACAGAGCTCATTGTCCTGCCTCTGATATTTTGGCACATATCAAAAAATATGCTCAACCCGTGCAGGTAAAAAACATACAAACACACATCAGAGACCTTCTAGGATCTTAGCCTCTCTTTGTGTCATGAACCCCCTTGGCTTTCTGGAAATACCTGTTTACTCCTTCTCAGAATAATATTTTTAAATGTGTAAAATAAAACACACAGGACTAGAGAGACACCAATTATATTGCAATACGGTTATCAAAATAGTTTAAAAAGAAATTGGTAAAATATCAATATGCATGTTCCCCTATTACTACATCCTATAACAAGAGCTGATGGGGAGTCCGATAAGGACCATTTTTGCAAGAGTAGTGAGCATTTCCACCACAGTAGAAATGTCTGTGACAGCAACTGATGACAAGTTCACAGGCACAGCCAATATGACTGGGGTTTGCACCTACATTCATAATTGAAGCAAATCCTAAATGTCAGTTAAAAGTTAGTGAAAATAAAGATAGACTTTTGTTCCCATCTCTACTTGGTTGAATGGTGGTCAGTGTCCTAACATCTGAAATCAGGTAATATAAATTTCTTTAGTCCTGGCAGACCAAATGCCAGGACCAAAAAATGGTCCTGGTAGACATGATTAAGTTGCACTTCAGATGAAATCATTCTGGATTACCCTGGTGGGCCCTATGTTCCCACAGCAAGTGATCTTATAAAAGACAGAAGAGAGGGGACACAGAGAAGAGGAAAAGGTGGCATGAAGCTGCAGGCAATGTAACTCACAAGACAGAGATTAGAGTGATGTGGCCAAGGAAGCTACCAGAAGCCAGGAGAGGCAAGGGGTGGGGGTGCTTCAGAGACAGCATGGCCCTGCCAACACCTTGACTTAGGACTTCTGGCCTCCAGAACACTGAGAGTCTGAGCTCCTGCTGTTTTAAGCCACCCAGTTTGGGGTCATTTGCTACAGCATTCACAGGAAATTAATACATCATCCAAGTTCGTGGGTGTCCCAAACCCTCGGATAAGAAACCTGTTCTGCCATCACCCTGTCTCCTAGTCACTGTGCACAGACCTGTCCAGGGCTTGCTTTGTTCCAGGTGTGAGCCAGCATTAGCATGGGGGACAGGGCAGTGACAAGCCCACTGGGGGCCTTGAGCTCAGGGAACTTGCATCCCAAAAGAAAATAAACAACTGAATCATGAATAAACCTAAAGTCAGGGAGAGATGAGGGCCTGGAAGAAAACAAAACAGGGTGATGTATTCAGAGTAACTAAAGGAGCTGCTCTACAGGGAGTGGGCAGGGGAGGCTTTGCTGAGGAAATGACCATTTAGCTGAGATTTAAATGATAAGAAGCCCCCAGAAAGGTGGTAGGAAGAGTTTTCTTAACAAAGAAATGTATGGAGGCCCCAAGGCTGGAGCAAGTTTAAAGAAAAGAAGGCTTAGTAGCTGGGGCAGCCAGGGGGGAGCTGGCAGGAGGAGCAGATCTCCAGCCTTGGTCTGCCCTGGGTGGCTGGGAAGGGGTAGAAGGGAGGCGGGAGTCTAGCAGGGCGGTCGGGCTGCAGTACAGTCGTAAGAAAGGCCTCGTGGACACCTCAGGGAGCTCTGGAGCTGGGCTGCCTGCAGAGGTGTCCTGATTTAAGGCCAGGGGCCTGACCCCCTGCATTGGCCAGCCCCCCAGGGAGTGGAGCGTGGCCTTGGATATGGAGACCCTTTTCATTTCCGAAGAGCCACAAGCTCCCACACTCCAGCAGCTGAGAGATAGGTTGGGGAAGTGTCCTGAGGGAGGGTCACACACCACAGTGTCCACAACAGGCCTGGAAGAGCACCACAAGGAGTTTGCTTCTACAGCCTCACATATGTGGAAAATGAGGCTGGGGAGAGAGATGAGCCTGCCAGTCATGCAGCAGGCTGGGGGCGGAGCCAGGCAGAAGGGCCCCGCCTCCTGGGTCGTATCCCTCCAGACACTCCATCTCCCTTCCTCCAGTCATAATGTAAAATGCGGCTTCACCATCTGACGCTCCAAGCTTCCCAGGGCCAGGCCACTGCTATAAAGGCCTTGCAAGGAGTTGTTTCTAAAGTGCTGTCTTGATCTGTTCTTTGAGACCCCAGTAGAGCTGGAAGTGCACAGGGTCTATATCAACACATGGGCGCACACACAAACTCACACATGTGTGCACATAGGCATGCACATACACACATGCACACACGTCTGAACACACACTTCAACACTAGCATGTTTCCCGGAACCTCGGTATCTCTGCAAAGCAAATTCTCCAGCCTTCTTCCCCAAGTGGATTTCACCTAGAGACCAATAACCTGGCATGTGTGATTTCTTCTCTTCCTAGCAGATAACATCCTCCGGGGACCCGAAGTGCTCAGATGAGATGTCACCTTCTTCAGAGAGACAGAGCATGTCCACTTATGTCAGATTTCAGTTTACCCAGCACTGGCCAATGGCTGACTTTGGATTCTAATCACACTATCACCCTCACAAACTCTGGGGGCAATGAGTCAGAGCAAGCCTGGTGCCTCGCAGAGCCTGGCAGCAGACCAGACAAGATCTACGTGACCTCTCAGAAGATCAGAAAAGGCCATGCCAGAGCTCACCCCCACTTTACAGTGCATTGTGAGTCTCAGATTTACCCCTTGTGCTATTACTTAAAAAAACCACACACGAGCTTAGGGTCATTTTCACTGTCTTCCGGTATTCTCAATGCGGGGAGTCCATAATGCGGGCAGCTCGTGCGCTCAGCACACTCTCCACTTAGAAGCCAAGAGCTGGACCTGGCTTCTCCATCTACCAGCTGTGCCACCGTAGGCCAAAACACTTAACCTCCTGAACCACATGCACAGAATGAACGTCACAACCCTGGCCTCACATTTGTCCTGAAGACAAAGTGATACTGTATGCAAATGTGCCTCTCAAGCTCGATGTCCCTTCCAGAAACTGTTATTATGAGCCATAGGCAGGACGGCGCTGGCTCTGCTCTAACACCTCGCAGGCAGGAGGGACCAGTGCCCTCCTGGGACTCCCGCTTTGTGCCCGGGGCTTACCTCTTCCCTCCAGCTCTACAACCGAGAGCCAGCAAACCCTTCCTGGAATCTGATTCTGCCGCAAGTTTGCTGAGTGACTCCAGACAGGTGACCCACCCTTGGTCTCAGTTTCTACATCTTCTATAAAATGCTATCCATCCTACCTGCCTTCAAGGTCTGTGGTTGGAATTAAGGACTTGAGCCTAGGAAAGTGGCAGTGTGTGTGGTGAGGTCTGTCATGGCTAACGATTGCCCCCATCCCGGCCCCGGCCACCCTGGTTCAGGGATGCCTGCCTGGACTCCTTGTCCAGACCACCCCTCCTCGGCCTCCCCAGCCTGACCCAGTCATCCCTTGAGAATGGCAAGGTGACCCTTCAAAGGTCGAAATTCTAGCACATCATTTCCCTACTCAAAAAATGCCAAGGGCCCTCCTTTCCCTCAAAAACATGAACAAAGACCTCC